CAGACAGGCGCCAGGAGGTGACGAAGACAGCGAAAAAACAGACCACACACACAAAGAACAAACCATTGATTTGATGTGAGACCGTAGGTGCACAGTGTGCCAATCCGGACGGCAGCGAGCACTGCACATTCAACACGAGATATGCTGGACAGGCAGGGCTGCCTGGGAACGAGTGTGAGGCTCCTTGAGTTACCAGCTGGCCTTTTCGGCCCTTTGCTTGCGCATGGAAGGCTCACCTTGATAGACATGGCACACCCGTTTGAGTCCAGAAACTGTGTGTATCTCGTTTGATGCTGTCCTGGTGGAATCCCAAGAGACGCATCAAACTTCAGTCTCGCAAGCTGCAGGTCAGAAGCACAAGCATGGATGTGCTTGTATTCGGGCGGAAAGCCTGTTTGGGAGCTGCACCTCATGTTCTGTCCCTTCGATTCTACTCATTTGCTGCCTCGTTGATTAGCCCAAGATCCCACAGATGGCGAAATTGTCCTGCAGCAGGTGTCGCTCGACGAGCTCATAGGACAGGGATGCAAAAGTGATGGCAAGCATTTGCATATTTGCATTGATGAACATGACACTCCGTGGTCCATTCCTCTTCGCTGATTGTGCCATCGAACAGCATACTGTCACACCTTTGCGCTTCGAAGCGTGACCTTCCAAACCAATGAGCGTGCCTTTTTTGGGGGGACCCTTTCTCCGGGGTGCAACAAATAATGGAAACATCCAATTTGAAAACTGGCCCATTCTGAGTGTTGCTGCAGTTTGAGACCAACACTTGCATTTCTTCAAATTGGACGAGCTTTGAAACGCCAGAACAAAAGCGGAAATGCACCTGGCAACAGTGTGAGAGCGCCGGGAAATCGGGGAATTCAAACCCACAGCCGCCTTTGTGGTTAGGCGATCACGCCGAAGGCTTTGACAATTGTCAGAATGCTTTTCTGGAAGGCAGAAGGCTCCTCCCGGAGGCGTGTGTGTTGTTCCTTGCCAGGTTCCATGTCAACGTGTATTTCAATGCATCCATCTTGTTTATATATGGCCCAGCCCCCTGACCGGCCCCCTTCGTGTGGAATGCTGAGCGCAGACGCAGGAATCGACAACTACGAGGAGTGGTGGAAAGACGAGCGGCGCGCTGAGATGGGCTTAGGTTGTGACTGGGACCCTCAGAGCAGCAAGAGGAGCAATAGGGATATAATATAGCCCTTAGTTTTTTTTGTTTGTTTTTTTCGGGGGCTCCTGATGATAGTCACCAATAAACACCGCAACGGCTCCCCTTGCTCTGGCTTTGAATCAGCGTGACAGTTGTTCTGCTTCAATGTATGCAGTGTAACCGTTGGCTAAGAGATGCTCAAAGCGTGCCCAGCCACCAGCCCGTTGATGTATTTATTCACAGAATTCTACGTGAGGTGTCATGTAGCTCCGTTTTCCATCTCTAGATTTGGATTGCAGCCCTCTTTTGTGCAAATGCTTTTGTTCTGGCGCGTTTCCAAACCTATCCGAGGTGTCAAACTTCCGAGAAGGGACTCCCCCGAGACTGTTCTCCATGTTTTCCAGTTGTTTGGCGACTTGGTTTCTTGAACCGCTTTGTTGTTGTGCAACATGGCCACTAGGTTGCCTGTAAGTTGCCATGGGCACCGTCGGCCCTGCAAAGCGCCGACCTAAGGAGTGGGCCTACAGGCAACATTGAATACGCCCCTTGGTGAATGGGCGGGTGCACGGTGAGTGCTATGCTGCAAACTGCAACAGCGGATCTGCGATTCGTAGAGTCCTCAGGCGGCTCGATAGGAGAGCGTGTGGTACTCCTGTGAGGTCTTGCTGATGGAAGCTGTAAAAACAGCATGAGGCTGCCCACAAATGGTATCACTGGGTTGGTAGTCATCTATCTTTTGGCTCGGGGCTTGCAGAGTCTCCCTGAGCAGTTGGGCTATTTATAAAATTACACCAGCATAGACCCCAGATAGCAATGATTGCACGCCAGCACCTCCAACAGCACCCCCCGAAGAGCGTCCCAAACAGCACCCGGCCGTCAATCGAGCACCCGCACCATCACTAGCACCTCCAACAGCACCCCAAACAGCATCCCAAAACAGCATCTGCAGCAACACCCCAAACTGCATGCCCCCTGCACCCTGCCGGCAATCTCGCAAAAATGCGCCTGCACCGACACCCTAAGAGCACCCCAAACAGCACCCCCCCCCCCCCCCAAACACCCAGCCGCACCCCAAACAGCATCCCAGAACGCCACCTGCCCCAGCACCCCAAGCTGCATGCCCCCTTGCACCCTACCGTCAAAATGCAAAAACACGCGTGCACCGTCACCCCCAAAACAGCACCTGCACCAGCACCCCCAAACTGCATGCCCCCTAGCACCCTACCGTCAATCTTTAAAAGATGCGCCCGCACTGCCATCAGCACCTCAAACAGCACCCCAATCCGCAAAAACCAGCACCCCAAACTGCGCGCCCCTTAGCACCAGCCCATCAATCTCCCAAATCACTTCCCCCTCTTTATTAGAAGTTAGAACCCCTATAGCTTTCAGCTATCTGGGGAAAAAAAAACGGGCCGGTCTGAAAGGTCCTGATGGGTGACGCCCTGGGCTGGGCACAGAATGAGGAAGTGAACGCCGACAACGGGAACGGCACCACATGGTGGGACGCACGCCTCAGCGAGAGGCAGTGCTCAGATCGCAGCTTGGAGAACGGCGTCGAATGATTCAGTCTCGATTTGGACTGTACATTTCCTTGAAATCTTAAGATTCCAGCCACTTGGAAACCCTTACTGTGGGACAATCGTATGCACTGGCACTTTTGGTTTTCTTGAGCTGAAGAATGTCGGCATGTAGGGCTGCAGTTTAGGCATTCGTCTCCCACTATGTTGCTTTTTGCACCCCGGTTTCCCTTCTTATTCAAAGAGGTCTGCGAGACAGACCGGTGTTTTGCATTTTGAGACCCAATGTCCTTGTCCGTCCAGGCCTTTTGAACCACAAAAAGTGGGAAAACAGTGATTGGGAAAGAAGAGCACAGCTCAAACAGCCTGTGGGCTTGTCGCTTCAGAGCAGATCTCAAGCTGAAGAATTCGCATTTCCAAGCTGACTTGTTGGACGCCGAGGCATGCAGCAGGCAGTTTGGCTGCAGGGTGGGATTTGCTGAAGCCACGGGGTAGACATGCTCATCAGCACCGGGTTCTGAATACGTGGTTGCTTGCATCAACGAATCACCACTCCACTGCGGTGCTGCTACATTCTGTTGAGGGCCGCTGATTTTCGATGCTAAGGAGTCTAAGGAGGGTAGGATTCGAGCACTGACTTGCAAGCGAACCACGAGCTTGGTCACCAAACACCAGCAGCCAACGTTCAGGTTGAGATAGCTGAGCGTGGCAGTTGTTTGCTCAATGGACTGATGCCACCAACACCACGCCCTTCGCATTTGGCAGCATGATTCAACGCCAACCTTTGCCGGGCGGGTTGACAAGGATCGCCTTTGCTTGAATTCTGAATTGGGTCTGGTAGCTTGCTGTTCTTTTTGAGTAGGCTGGCTGACATCAAATGACTTTTTTGCTGAATAGCAGGATTTTTCTCATGGGAAGAAGAAAAGCACAGCTCAGATGGCCCGCCTATCTAGGATTCAATGTATGAGGCCTTCTGCGCCTGTGATCCATGGTCGACCAGACGGGGAGACCTGCTCTTGTTTTTTAGATTTTGAACCCAGAGGGTTTGCGGCGCACAGCTTGGCCCATGGTTGTGGAAATCTGGGTGTTGTGATACCAAGGGAATGAATATTTGGCAAGTATGATCAGCTTATAAGTAAGCTTTCATGAGATGCGTCCACCTGTATTGTGATTTTGTCACAACTAGTTTCTCGTATTCTGAATATATCATAAGATGCTGTTCGTTCCACAGATGCAGCACACAATGTCACGGGAGTTTGGATTCGCTTCAGGTCCAGGACCTCTTCGCGAAGCGCTACCCTGCGCTGCCCCGAGATCTTCCCGACCCTCCCTGCCTTTGAGGCGAGAGGCTCTCTCTGGCGAGCTCTCTCTGCAGTCCCAAAGGGACTCGCAGGGGAAGGGACTCCGAAGGCGGTCAGTTGGCCCAGGGCAGTCAGTCCTTCGTTTTGGCACGTGGAAGCTAGGAGCCTTTAGTAGTTTATGTCTTGTGCTGCTCGTGATTCAAGCTTATTTGGCCTGGCCGGTTCAACATGTCAACTCTCCTACAGCCTCGCAAAAAGTTAATCTGACCATGGCACACAGCGGCCTAACAAGATGAGGGACCCTTTCAACGGTGGCACTAAATCTGACCAGGGTCCGAAAAGGGCTTCTTTTGTTGACAAGCCTTCACATGTGTTTGTTGTGTCTATGTGTGGTGCAGTACTCAAACAGCGTTGCGTGGTCAGCAAGGCTTCATGCCAAGTGGCGACTGAACAGACCTGCCCTTCGGAGCACAGACAGTCCCTGCAAGCCGATTCGTTTTCCTGGAATTTGGGCACCGGCCGATGCTGAGTATTCTTGGCATCTCAAATCCAATCCTTTCCGCATCCAAAGTATGGAATGAAAGATCCGGGTGCTTGAAAGCAGAACAGTTTGTGCCATTTTGCTCAGCATTACGGTGCATTGCACGGATAGCGTGCGTCAGAAAATGGATTAGACGATGGCGGAGATCCCGGTCGCTGGACACGAATATTCCCAGCTTTGGGTTCAAGGCGATTTCCGGCATTTGCACGACTTGCCGAGCAGCTCGCTCAATCACTTCCATAGGCAGCCTGGGTAACAAGTCTCAAGGACCTGGGACCCAGAGTTGGTTCAAAAAGCGCGTGGCAGAAACACTCCAGATTTTGCTTCATTGTCCTCGGCCTTTGCCTAGATTCCTTTGCCATACTGAATGAACGATTGCAGATGGTTGTGCATGGTGTTGAGAGTGGTTGCCATGTGCGGCTTCAAAGGCGATTCAGCCGATGATTGGTGCGAGGAGTGGATTGTGTGCATTTTGCACTGTCACGTCTTGTTCCCAGGTCAAACCTTGACGGCTACTATTCCAGGCGGGGTCGGAGTCCTATTCGATGGCTTCAGCTCATCGGGTTGCTGTTCGTCTCTCATGTGTGCACGAGGTGCATGTGTTTGAAGTCGTGTGTTTGGATGATACTCGAAGCATGATGTCAGAAAGAATATCCATTACAAGCTTCATCTGGTACGGCAACACGTCTTGTGCTACAGCGACATCGTGCGGCGAAACCATGATTTATTTTGTGCTGCCGACAAACTTAGGCCCCTACTGTTTCTGAAAATTTGACGGTTGTATCAGGGTGGGCCAACAGACAGAACCGAGAGAAAGAGAGAGAGAGAGAGAGAGAGACGGACGGACGGACAGACAGACGGACACGCAGACAGGCAAAGCAAGACAGAGACAGAGACAGAGGCAGAGGCAGAGGCAGAGGCAGAGGCAGAGGCAGACAGCCAAGTCTGACAGACACAGACAGAGACAGACACAGACAGACAGACAGACAGACAGACAGACACAGACACAGACAGACACAGACAGACACAGACAGACACAGACAGACACAGACAGACACAGACAGACACAGACAGACACAGACAGACACAGACAGACACAGACAGACACAGACAGACACAGACAGACACACAGACAGACACAGACACGCAGGACAGACAGAGACACACAGACACAACCACACAAACGCAGAAAAGCAGTGACGCACTTGCACACGGACACGTGCACACGCGCACGCACGCAGGCACCCACGCACAGACACAGAGACACACACACACACACTTACACACTTACACACTTACACACTTACACACTTACACGCTTACACGCTTACATGCATACACACACATACACACTTACACACTTAAACACTTACACACTTACACGCACACAACCACACACAACCACACACAACCACACACACAACCACACACACAACCACACACACACATACACACTTACACACTTAAACACTTACACACTTACACGCACACAACCACACACACAACCACACACACAACCACAGACACACACACACACACAACCACACACAACCACACACACAACCACACACAACCGCACACAACCACACACAACCACACACAGACACACAGACACACACACACACACACACACACACACAGACGCACACACACACAGACACACAGACACACACACACACAGACACACAGACACACACACACAGACACACAGACACACACACAGACACACACACACAGACACACACACACAGAGAGACACAGACACACAGACACACAGACACACACACACAGACACACACACAGAGACACACAGACACACACACACACAGACACACACGCACACACAGACACACACAGACACACGCAGACACAACACACACACACACACCGCACACCGCACACCGACACGCACACGCACACGCACACGCACACGCACACGCACACGCACACGCACACGCACCCGCACGCGCACGCGCACGCGCACGCGCACGCGCACGCACACGCACACCCACACACACACACAAGCGCACCTACACGCGTTCTGACGCACACACGCGCAAACGCAAACACAGTCGCGCGCACGCACGCACGCGCGCGCGCGCGCCCGCCCGCCCGCCCGCCCACCCAACCACCCACCCACCCACCCACCCACCCACACCCACCCACGCGCGCTCACACACACACAGTTGCACACCTACATGCGCGCACTGACACACTTGAGAACTTTTGCAGTTGCATGCTGTACATCTACGTGCTTACACCCTCGCATGTCATGTCGCCAACATTCCCGATTTCTTTGTCGATTATTTGCATGCCCTGCTGGCCAAAGACGACCAGTTCATTTGTATAGACCTTGAAATCCGTGCTGTTTGTTTGGCCTGGGGCGCGTGACAGGCCCGCCCGTGTGCCGCCATACCGATCTTCGGCGGCCTGGGCATTGAGGACAGAGTGGGCGGGGCATCGCAGATGCGAGTGGTTTGTTTATTAGCTCATGCTTTCAAATGAAACCAGCTGCAAGGCAACGCAGGGCAAACAGCAAAGTAGGACAGGACCCTGAGTTTGGTTGTCAAAAGCAGAAGGAAACCATGTCTTTGGGCCACGATGCCCAAATGACTGCGCACGAACGGCTTGGTTGTTGCCCAGAAAGAGACCTGTAAGTTTGCCGGTGCAGCAGGTCAGGCTGCTACTGTAGCTGCTCGCTGTTGGGATGTCCATGTCTCCCTAGGCAAATGGATGACCGCTTCTCCATTCTGAGGCCAGACACGGTACCTTTGGCAGATGAGTTGGGTGGTGGGCAGGGGCAAGCGGGATTGGCAAACGGCTCGTTCGCATCACACCACATAATTTGACCCCAAGTGCATCAACCTGCAAAATTTTAGCGGTGCACCCAAAGAAGTATGCCCCGCAGAAAGACGATCCCCTCCTTTCATCAGAGTGTCTAAATATGGAGATCCAACGCCTTTAAGAGGGCTTTTGGGACTGGAAGTTGGGCCTGTTTTTGCACCGGTCCAATCAGTTAACTCCGATTCAAGAATCCGGTTGAATGGCCTTCTTCTTGGCTGGGGAGCGGGGTTCTAAATGCAATGACAGTCCTACCATGTTTTGCCGGGAGTCCGGATTCGTGATTAAACTGTTCTCCCCCCGGTGCCCCACTCATTTTCCCGGGGTCTAGCCTGTTGTTCCCCCAGTCTTCGCCCAGGATTGTGCGATGTTGCAGCGTTTGTGCGAATGTGCGCCTTTCTCGTTTGGGTGTAGTTTGAGTCAATGAGACTGTCACGTTCAGGAACTATTGTATCTGAATTAACATTGTGTGGCGCAGCGTCGCATTGCTCGCCGGAGCTTAGTTCTCGCTCATGAAAGATGTGGCTGAGAGGCTTCGTGTCAGTAAACACTTGCTGGAACATGGTTAATGCACGCAAGAGTCGTAGTGAATTGCCTGCGCATGAGTCGAGGCTAAAAGCATAGTCTCGTTGTTCGGACAAAAGCAAAGACAAAGTAACTTGAGCTGAGGGAGCCAACTTACGAGTTCACAGAATCGCCGGACGATTAGGCATTCTACTCTACACCATGAGGTCGTCCAGAGTGCCGAGCCCGTGGAGATTCCGACGTTGAAGCCCTTTAGGTTTCAAAAGTGAGTCCCGGCCAAGCAACTCGCCGACTGGGAGTTGGGAAGTGACACATCGAAGCAACAGGCTCCTTTCATGTTCAAAGTACACTTTTGACGTGGGCGGCGCGCCAAACGTTGACCATTTTGAGTAGGTGATTCTACTAGCCTGTTTCATGGGGTTCGTAGTAAGGCCTAAATAAGCCTTTACAACAGTGTTAGAAACAAACGTCAACGAGTTTTGAGCCTTGGCTCACATGCAGATGACCTCCGCGGCGCGCTGTCGCACTCAGGTGGTGCTGGACCTTGGCTGCTTCCCTGGCGGATGGTCGGAGGCAGGAAGGGTTCGAGGGATGGCCGACAGGCGCGCGCGCATGTCTCTGTGTGTGTGTGTGTCCCCAATCTGGCCTTGCCATGGTCGACTGGTTTCAAGGGTCAAGTGACTTAGACATGTCAAGCTGGACCGGCTACTTGGGATAGAAGATGTTAGAATTTTGGGGGGCGAGCAATGGCCAGTAGGCCCAGGATCTCAGGGGCACCTGTCATTTGGACCTTTGATCTTTGAGAAGTAGAAGATCCAAAATGCCGGGTTTGGAAAGCCCCCGCGAAGTCATTCTTTGTGGTTCTGCAGCTGCAGGTGGCAGTGGAGAGGACGGGCGATGGGGTTGCAAGGCAATCCATTGGCACTGTGTTTCCTTGCGCAGCGGGTTGGGGAGAGGGGATCAACCTATGATTGATGATTTAGATTTGGCACTGTCCGTGTTCATTTCACAGGAGCCAGTCGTTGTACACAACTGTTTGGTATTTTAGATCTGACGCGTTTTGTGCTTGTGGCCGCCGACTTGCTTGGACCACTTGTTCTCCGTCAGCCAGCAGTGGCCTGCGTGTTCCAGAGTTCCCTATGCTTTCCTATTTTGTGGTTTTGAACATCTCCTTTTGAGCCATCTTTAAGTGAGCTTCCTTTTGGTGAGGGATGTTTAAAAGGGGAATATAGGGAGCCCTGGGTTCCTGCAATATCAGCACATGCCATTTATTTCTCTCACTACTACCTGTGACCTAGACACTGGAGTGAACTGGGGCGCACAAATTGTTCGTGCGTATTGTTCAGCTTTGGAACCAAGGCGATTCGACATTGAATCGGACTACAAGACTACACACACACACCCACCCACGCACGCACGCACGACCGCACGCCCGCCCGCCCGCCCGCCCGCGCGCGTACGCACGCACGCACGCGCACGCACGCACCCACGCACCCACGCACACACACACACACACACACACACACACACACACACACACACACACACACACACACACACACACACACACACACACACACACACACACACACACACACACACACACACACACACACACACACACACACACACACGCACACGCACACGCACACGCACACGCACACGCACACGCACACGCACACGCACACGCACACGCACACGCACACACACACACACACACACACACACACACACACACACACACACACACACACACACACACACACACACTTAAACACACACACACACACTTAAACACACACACACATACACACACACTTAAACACACACATACACACACACACTTAAACACACACACACACACACTTAAACACACACACACACACACACACACACACACACTTAAACACACACACACACACACACTTAAACACACACACACACACACACGCACACACACACACACTTAAACACACACACACACACACACTTAAACACACACACACACTTAAACACACACACACACACTTAAACACACACACACACACACACTTAAACACACACACACACACACCACACACACACACACATTCGCATGTTGCATCAGTATTGCTATCACTAGGATCGAATGAGGACCCATTTCGAACATACAGGCAGTTGGGCAAGCTCAGGTTAGTACGCAGAGACAAAGATGGGTGCTGATAAATTTGCATTTGTTTCTGAGGAACATGACTTGCATGAAGTCTTTACTAGTAGGCTTGGTGCTGCCAGGAGGGAGCGCAAGCTTTTGCGCTGGTGGGACCGCACAGTTTTGTGTAATCTGTGTTTGCGCTGTTTGTTCCTGAGCCCATTTTCCTGCATGGCAGATTAGGTTTGATGAAACTGCCCAGTCCAGCTGGGTGCTTCCATTCATTTAACAGGACGGGGGGCTCACCTTCCCCACAAACCAGGCCCATGTGGGGAATCGTCTCAGGAGCGAGGTCTCGAGCTCCAGCAGCCGTGTGATAGGCGCGAGCCGCCCGCTAGTGGAGTCCCAACAAAACGTTCCTGGCCGTGGGAAGACCGGTGGACCATCTGAATGACCATCGCAAAGTTTGAACTTGATGGCCAATCGACTCAAGCGAGGATTGCATGCCTTTAGAAAGCTTTGAAAGCTTTGAATGGATGTAGAGGTGAGGAAGTTGTTTTTTTGAACGATTTTGTATGTTTGTGTGTGTGTGTGTGTGTTTGTTTAGCTTAATTGCCTGGAGAGGTTCTGGTCCGTGCATCGCTGCAGCATGCCGTGTGTTGACATGGCCTGGGCTGTTGATTTGCGACGCGCTAGTCACTTAACCACTCGCCTGCCTTGTTTATACCTGTCATATCTCCTTGTTCTTTCATGCTGACATATGAGGTGCAGCTTGCTACCAGATAAGTCCCCAACCGCCAAAGAGCAGCTTAGCCAGCTCAGTGGCAGGCGCCTTCTCACTGCATGCACTGCATGCTCCATGAACGGTTGACAGGTTTGTTTGGAGAACCAAGCTGCTGGTGATGTTGTGTTCTGCATTATTCTTTCTGAAGCCAAAGCTATTGTGAAGTGAAGCTCTCCGTTTGCTTGCTGCTTGCTGCTTGCTTGCTTGCTTTAAGTTGCCTTGCCTTGCCTTGTGTTGCTTTGCTTAGCTTGCTAGCTGGCCTTGCCTTGCTGCTTTTCTTTGCTTTGCTTGCTTGCCTGCCGGGCTTGCTTTGCTTTGCTTTGCTTTGCTTGCCTTTTTGCTTGATTGGTTGCCTGATTCCTTGCATGCGCGCTTGTTTGTTGGTTGTTTATTGGTTTGTTGGCTTGTTGGTTTGTTGGTTGGCTGGCTTGCTGGTTTGTTTGTTTGTTTGTTGGTTTGTTTGTTTGTTTGTTTGCTTGCTTGCTTGCTTTAGGAAGCCAATCGACTGGTTGTTAGACTGATTCAGAGATTGACATTGAATCGTACAGTCAGAAGTGGCTTTGTGAATCGTTAGTCCACCCACCGTTCCGCATTTCACAGTGCGCGGCATGTAGTGGAGTCATTCAAGGGGGGTCTTTCATAACGATTGTTCCAAAGAACCATTGCTTTCATCTCTGGCCAGGTAATTATTCTTCCGTGCACGTGTGTGTGTGTGTGTGTGTGTGTGTTTGTTCAGAAATCATGAAAGGTATTTAGAAAAATGTGTTTTTAGCGGGAAACCAAGGAACCTTTTGGTTCACATGCCCATGTCCCACGTGACGCTGGCAAGTTTTTGGTTAGGTGTGGATTCCACTCGGATGGACCCTATGGAGTATCACACCTTCATCCAGGGCGACCTGGCCAAGAAGGCGGGAGCCCGCCCCGGTCGGTCGGTCTTTTATTGGTTTCAGCGTGTGGTGGATGCTTTGATTGTGTGCCCTGCAAATTTGATGTTGGCTTCTGCGTGCTAACATAAATTGCATTGCATAGATTCTTAGATATACATAGATAATATGCTTACATCAATAAAACCAGCGTTCTAGAACATTTGAGTGTGCTAGACTGCAGCCCGTGAGGGAGGTAGCAATTCTGGTCAGATGACATACCACCCTTCACGAAAACAATCGTTGCTGATTGCTTGAATCTCGTCCGAGCGTAGGGTGCATAGCCCATGGCATAGTGTGCTACGGCCACGATGCTGATTTTGCTTAACACTTCCGACGTACAGTGTGCAGGAAGCAGAAAATTGACTAACTGCATCTTAATCACAGGCGCACAACTCCCTTCGCAGGCAGCGACCTTCTGTCAGTTGAAGGACACTATAAAAGCAGAATGATGGGCAGCCAAGTGAATACGCAGAAAGCACTGGTGGACTGCAGTGTTCAAATTATCCATAGTCCCTTGGCGTGCGCCTGTACAAAGGGTGCTCAAGTACCACTTCATTTAGAGTCTTTTGGCTGATGTTCTTTAGGACATATATGTGTGTGTGAATATCAGTTTGCTGTGTGTGTGTGCGCGGACAGCATCCACAAAGGAAAGGAACAGTGGTCAAGCTGATCCGGCAAAGCGCGCGCTCTCAGTCACGGGACTTGTTAAAAGGCGGCACAAGGGTGGCACCAAGCTCCAACAAGGGCGCCATATGTTTGACTTCTCCCCCATGGGACAGAGGTCCCCATGTTTTTGTTTGCAGGTGAATTTCAACTCATGTTTCAGGCATAATGTGAAGTGACCTTCCTTCACAGATCTTCTTCTTCATCATCATCATCATCATTCGGAGAGATGAGAAGCCAACAGCTGAGCTGTATCTATTCTAGGGACACGTCTAATTTTGATTGGAGCTTTAAACAACCGTTGAGCCATGTGGTTGTCGTTGGTCCAGCCAGCCCAAACGCCAGGCCACAACACAGGCCATTTTGGAGGCGCTGAAATCTCAGATCTGGGTAGGACTGTCAAAATGGGGGAAATGGTGGATATGGTGGCTTTCCTCTAGTGTCCCTTTAATTCAATCCCTCCAAAAAGGTACCCTGAAAACCATGGGTGTTTTATCGTGAACCCCAAAACATTTCAGTCATTCAATCGCAAAAGTAGGAATCCCCGCAAGGCATTATCACCGTGGGTGGCCTATCCTATGGCCACTTTCTTGGGAAGCGTTCAAAACGAAGCCGACCGAACAGACCATGTCCACTGAGGCTGGGAGACACCCGTGCGGACGTGGTCCTGTCTGACCTGTCTCCGGCCTCCACAGGCGTCAAGTGAGAGCAGGGTGCGCGTGTTGATCATAGAATCAGAAAGAGCAAGACGCATCATGAAAGGGCTTGCAGCGGCTTGCCCGTATCAGTGGCACTTCCGTCCATACTTGCGGGGGCCTTCTCAAATAAGAGGAAGTTGCACAAACAGAGACTACACACGCCCTCAGATGGGGAAAAGAAAATGAACAAACGGAGGCAACAGCCCGCAGGGACCTTTCAAAAAGAAGGAGTGCAAACAAAAGGCTCAACGAGCATCAGCAGCACAGAACTTGACTACATCGGTAGCACCCCCCATACATCACTTCTGGCGGTCTGTCCAAAAAAGACCGAGAAAGCTACGAAGAGCTTGAATAAACCAAAGGTCTCTACTCAAGTCCTGTGATGATGGGGGGTGCTACTGGTGCAATCCAGCTCTGTCCCGCTGACGCTTCTTGTTTTGTCTGTTGTTGCATTCGTACCATCAGGAATTGGGTAGGGACCTTTGGTTTACCTTTAGTTCATGTTGCTTTCCCTGGCTGGGGATGCTGAGGATGCAAAAGCGATGACCCTGGTTGCTTCTGTTTTCCAGGAATGTAGGAAGGTTTTCGCAGGACTAAGTGACTTGACAGACACGTTTGGTTTGCCTTCTTTGTTTGTTCATGGTTTTTCCTAGCTGGGGATGCCTGCGGGTGTTTGTTTGCAGTTTCCTCGGTCATTTGGGAAAGGTCCCAACAAGACACTGTCTGCTCCTGTTTTGCAGGAACGTCAATCTGGTGATGCTGGCGATGGTGAGCTGGTGATGGTGAGGATGCAACAACGATGATGAGAATGTTGGACAAGTGTTTACTGGGAATTTCGACACCCCGAGTTTTCACGAGTTCAACACGCCGTCTGTTTGTCGGTGGATTTTGGAAAGACGGTTTTGGCCATGGCTACGGTCAGACTTTTGCGGTTGCTTGGCGGGTGTGCCCGCCAGGCTTAAAGCAGGAGGATCACCTCAATTCCATGCAATGCGCGGCTCTCAGCCATTCAGATCGTAGACAATCGTGTGTTGCTACCTTGCGTGCGTTGCTTCCGTTTGTTGGCGTTGAAGCGTACTAGTGTTTGACTGCGCCACTGCAGTACGAATATGTAAGCCTTTCGCATGTGACCTTGAAGATCGTTGAGGCATTGACGAATTTGCTTTTCCCTTCAACTACGCAGTAGCGATGGCTTCCTGTTTTCGAAGCAACTGCACAAGACACCGGCTAGTTGGCTGAGTGCCGAGGTTGCCTTCACGCAGCGAAGATCATGGAGAGGAGGGCCGGCCAAACAGCAGGCGTTTGTTTCAACAACAGTTTGGGAAAGCTGGCCCTGAATGCATGTTGATGAGCAGAGCGCTACCCATTTTAGAGTGGGGATTGGGATGTTCAGGTACGATTTGGATTTCCCATGGCCATATATCAAAACGTTTGCTCCTCACCGGCCACCGCAGCCCAGGACCCTGAAGCTGGGCGGCTGGTTCGCTCTGAAACTCACCGCGGCGGGCCAAGAGATTGCGCCCCGGGGACTCTGCTTAGTCAGCGTAGGATCCCAGGCTCCATTCTTTCTTTTTTTTAAACAAAACAAGTATATAATATAGATATATTATTTGTTCCTTTAAGCTTACCCAATACCATCCATTCTCTCATGTGTTCTGTGCTTGTTTTATCACACATGGTCACGTATTCGTGTCCACAATGGGGTAGAGGGCGCTGATTACTGCAAACACTGCACGTTCTCATGTGCTTGTTTATCATGTTGAGCCGCATCAATCGGACAGATGTCGTGTGGGTGGCTCTTGTCATAATTAGAGCAGATGGACCCCACGCAGATAAAGACCAGGGACATCTTGAGAAGATGTCCTTGTGGAGTTTCCTGATGCTTTTCCAACAGACCTGCCTGTAGTCTTAAATTGGCCACGATCTCCAGTCCACAGATGTCGCAACTTGGCACAAACTCTGGATTGAAACGTTGACTAGCTCCGATTCTGTACAAGCCTAGTGTTGTAAACGGAACAGCCAAATCGAAGGATTTGGCGGCACGGCCATCAACAGATCAGCTCGGAACAGAGTCATTCCTTTTGGCTCTGGCTGAGTACGGCAGCGAGATCGGGCGCTTCAGAATGCGCGGCGACCCGGACGATCCTTCAGTTGCGGAAGCACCGTGTAGGTGTTTGAAGCCCTACCCTCTTGGGGACGAAAGGAGCCTAGGGTGCACTGGGTGCAGGCTTCTTCAACCCTTCCTTCCAAATGGAATATTGTGATGCACATCCCGCAAGCTCAAGTATTCTGTCTTCGGTAGTGTAGCTCTAGCAACCTTGAGTTGGGAATGATGATTAGAGCTTCTTCGTTGCCATGGAAAGTTCACAAGAGCAATGTTCTAAAACGCTGGACAAAAAACTGAAGGTCGAAAGTGCAACGTTTCAGGCCACCCAAACGGGACATTTTCGGGGTTCCCGTGAGTGTACCCTACCTGAGGTACTTGGACTCGCGCTTCGAGACTGTGCGAGCGATTCGCCCAGCGGCTGTCAGGCATCGGATTACACCGGGACCCAGCGGCAGGCAGAAGCAAAGACTAACGTGGTTCGCATCATCCTAAAAAGATTTAAAGGGATCCATGCACTTCCATGATCGTCGGAAAGCTTCAAAAGGTCGAGCGCATGGCCCGACAAACAGCCCAGAAAAACCAGTGCTGCCCCCATTCCACGTGAGACCATTGTGCGAAGCTGTGACTGCTGATTCGGGGATCGAGCAAGGTTTGTTTTTGGTAATTTGGGAAGACGTTGCCATCTGCGTGGGCAACAATGATGCCAATGATGCCCTGAATCCTTGCCTTTTGTGGGAAAGGGATGCCCTTTGTAGGAGTTCCATTTTGAAGGGTCACTTTCATGTCCTGTGAGACACGAAGTTGCATGGCATCCACCGCAAGAGTTGAGGCAGGGGCCAAGACAGAACCGCGCTGCTGGCAGGTCTAGCCGCGACATGTTCTGCATCTGCAAGGGCTTCATCGGCCGGCAGACGATCGCCTCTGAGGCGGACCGGTCATGGCCTTCTGGGATAGCGGGGGTGCTTGGGAACAAACATCATGTGGAGACAGGTTGCTCACACGTCGGTTCTCTCTCGGTTGCTCGGGGGTGTTTCCCTGCAGCCGATTCGCAATTCACCATCGGGCAGGCGAAGAGCAAGAACGCCTACACGCATGAGGGCATGGACCGCTGGAATGGGGAGAGGTGGCTGAGCAGCCAAGAGATGCTGGATGAGGATGAATGACGAAATGAGCGCATGCCGTGCTGCGAGGGTCAGACATGCTCAGCAGGGTTCAACGTGTGGCAGGCGGCAGTTGTTTGGGCTTGAGCATTCAACGCCTCATAGATTGCCGGTGTGAGACCCAAAGTAGCACGGGACTGTATCCGGTGCACAGAGTTTCGCCATGTAGGGACTCCGGATGCCCATGTTGATTCTTACCCATGCTGCCCACACGACAATATGGGGTTAACCCGCTTCTTGCATCAAGCTACGTTGGCTAGTTGCAAGCAATGATATTTGCTCGGTAATTGTACGTATAGCGAGATTGCTTTAGTGGTTGGGATGGTGGCTTGCGTGGCTTCAGCTGACCACAGGGCTGAAGAAACAGACAGGGTGTTTTGGTGACCCTGCAGGGTGTTTGACTGTCCTTTTGTGGGGAGCTGAAGAAGCCCAATGTCAGAGAGGGTTGTTTCTTCATCCAAGCTGACAAGAGAAGACTTCCTCCAAAACTTCAAGGCATGTTTTCGTTATTCCTTTCCCGCCCAGCCATTTTCCCAGCACAAGCTGCTGGACGCCTGTACTTACTTATAGAAGGAGCCGGAGATTTCAAGTGCAGGCGCCGACGCCATGGGCCGTATGATGGTTGGTCGCAAAGTCCCAGCCATGTCCCGCCTCGGTCCTCGTGCCTTTTAGGCTCTTTCTCAACCTTGCCTTCCAAGCTGTAGTCCGATTACAAGATGAGGTTGGAATTGTTTGTCTTGGTGCACGGGTTCGAACGACATCAATTATGCACACGCACTCGACGCGACTGGTACTCAGCATGTGTGGTGTTGTTTTGGCTGTTTGGAGTTTGTTTGTGCCAACTATTCTGAGCTGATTGTGGCAAGGCCAGCCCACGCATGAATGACGAGTTGTTCATGGTGGCCGCAGGGAGGCAGATTAATGTAGATTGTCATGTACCAGAATAATCCTTTGAAAGGGCTTCTGTTCGAAATGGTACAGTGTAAGACATCCAGTCTTGACAAGGTATTCCTTATGAGTTCTGAGCTGTGGTTTTTGATTGCATCACAAGCTGTTGCAGGCATGGTCAGGTTGGAAAAGCTCTTCGCTATTTGGACTCGTTGGAATGGCACTGTCAACTTTGGATCCAAAGAACAACTGGATTTGAATTTGGCCTTGGAGAACATGTGGCAGGACCAGAGGCCGAATGGACAAGGCGACATTGCTGACGGACATCAAATGTCAATATGGTCCGTGTTGAATCAAAACCTTTGTTCTTCATAATTTGATGGTCTGTTATTCCATTTACAGGCTGGATATCACCCTGCCTAGGCTCAGCACTGCGCGCGCAAAAGTATTTGTGCACCAGTTGTGCTACAAGACCCCGGAACAGCATCCGAACAATACATTGAACAACACCCTCTTGTAGATTCGGTAGCCGATCAGTCTTGCTCTTCCTTGGCCTTGTCACTTGAGTTCGTTGTGCAAAGCAGAGCTTCGCGCTGCCCAAGAGAATCCTCAACGGCCGTCACGGCCCGGCCGTCGTCAACCTGCATGGCATGCCAGAGGGAAGCAATGTAACTTGTGGTGTAGGTTGCACATGTTGGATTATCAATGCGTTTGTTCTTTCCGCCCCAATTACAACAAGAATAACAATTGGGCCGCAAAACGCAATGTTCCGGAAGAGGCCACAAAACGCAATGCCTGCAAGATTCACAATTCAAGCACACTTTCAAATTCTGCAACGGGCAGCCATGCCACTGGTCGACTTTCAATGTTGCGACTGAGCACCTCGCTTTACCCGGCTTCCGGAAACTCAAAACTGCTCGGACCAAACAAAAGAGGACAAGCCTTAAATCATGGGGGCTGGGGAGCAATAAGCCCGTATTAAGCCCGTATTAAGCCCTTGTAAGGTTTTATCCCGGTGCCCCCCCGTTCTTACCCCCCGCCCATGTTTACAGGGCAAGTGCCGAAAAAATTGAAATCTTCCTGTCCCCCCCCCCCCCCCCGCAACAGAAAAACATCGGACATTTTTCCCATGTGGCTATGGATCAAAACCCAAATGTTATCCCAGTGAACATCCCAATCCAACCACTTCCATAGGTTCTAAAATGGGTGGTGAATTCACCTACCAACCAAAATGGGATCCCTTTGGTGTTGACCCAGGGCCATGTCCTTTTTGTTGGTGTCCACTTGTCACCCCCAGCGCACGTCAGGCCATGGCCCGTCCCGGAGCGCTTCTCCTGGGCGCCATCGCTGCGGCGCTCTGGCCGGGGGCTGAAACCGTCCTGCACTGAACATGTTGTGGACAGGCGTACAGATGGTCCAGGTGTGTGTGTGTGTGTGAGTGTGTGTGTGTGTGTGCGCGCGCGCCTGTGTGTGTGTGTGTGTGTGTTTGTTGAGGGTATCCTTTTCAGATTGGTTTGAAGGGCATTCAAGAATGAAGCCAATCTTTGTGGGGCATACCATGTAAGCCTTGCTGTATTTTGGTCTTGAACAAAGGAACCCATGGTGTCGGCCTGCTCGAAGTCCTTAGTACTAAGTACTCACTGGAAGCACTCATGCACACGACATTGGGGAGAAGTTTGAAGCTTGCGCCGTGCGCCTCACAACCCTGTTCGGCCTTGGCACTTTGAACGCTCCAGGCTTCGGACGACTAGGGAGAGCTTCAGCTTTGTGAACGGCGTAGCGCTCTCGGAATGGTTGTTTCGGACTATTTGGGTGAGGTCCAATGTCCCTACCCAAGTAAGGCACCCTCGTCCGTATGTCCCTTTGGGTGGGTGCGAAAGCAATGCAGCAATGGCAGCAAGCATGTTTCAAGAGACCTCTGTGGATGGTAGCTGGTGAGGCGGTAGAGCCATCCTTTAGCCCTTGCCACATTTCATTGGTTGCATTTCTGGGACACGTGATGCTGTCAAGTTTCGCGCATTCTCAAGTTGGCACAAGTTTCAGCACTTGCTCATTGGAGACACTTTGCTTGTTGACCTTCTCAAAATGAGAAGGTTGAGGCTAATAGGACCCCCTGTTTGAAATGTGTGCAACGGATGGTATATCAGTATCATAGGCATGCAAAGGAGCATGTTTATTGCATGGACTGGTAAGCTTGAGGCGAAGAGGCGGCAAGAGGGAAGGATCAATCCAGTCGAAGCAAGACGTTCAAGCAAGCCTTTTGTTTCGTTTCGATGAGAAGGAACGGCGAGGGATTCATGTGGAAATTGCCTCAGGTCTCGGTCTTGCCTGAGGATCCAATGCTCGCAATCTCGGGCTCATAACATAGGTCTCCGGCGGAGTCTCCGGCAGGCTGGCATCATGTCGCTCGAGATTACGGAAAAGCCGGAAGTGGGCAACAAGCCCAGGGAAGCAAGAAGTGACCCTGCACCCGTACCCGGCGAAGCCCGTCGGTGCAATGTGTGTCACATTTTGGTAGCCGAAGTGCGCCAACACCGTAGACTTCTTCCTTTGGCTCTGGCTCAGATGCTGCTTCTGGCCGATCAGCCGCTCCTTCCTGCCAACATGTCCACGGTGGCGGAAGAGTTCGGTTTTGATGGCCCCAAGCGAGATGAGATGCTTGGCTGTTCGATCTTCAATCTTAACCTTTCGGGACATTGGTGTGATTTTCCACTAACCAGCAGAAAGGTTAAGAATCGAGAAGAATTGTCTCAGACTGGTATCTCTGCAGCAAAAAGTGCAATGTTTGCCCGGGCAATGCCCCATAGACATGTACTTGGCCCCATGTCAACTTTTTGCAGGGCCAACCGCCAGGATGCTCGGAGGCATCGTGGCACTTGTCTTCTTCAGCACTGGCGCGTTGTGTTCTCTGGCGGCTGGCCGGCTGGCCGACTTGGTGAAGCGCACGATGCTGGTCTCTGTCTTCATGCTGCTAGGTGGGTGTGTGTTTTTTGGCGGGGATACTCCAAGTCTATGTGTGTTGTTATGTTTGTTTGTTCATGTTGTTTGCACTTGGTTGTTTTTTTGGGGGGAGGAAGGGCGAGTGGTGGGAGGGGAGAGAAATGTGTTTGTGTTGTGTTTCTTTGTGTCTTTTGGGGGCCACAACCCTTTTTTGGTTTTACAAGGAAGGTAGGCGTGTGGGGGGGTCCATTTCCTCATTGCTGGTTTTCTGTATGGCTTCCCTTCGGATACAAAAGGGCAGCCTCTTAACTTCACCCCCCCCAGGTTAACCACCAGGAAACCAGCCACCGGGTCTCATTTTGAGACAGGTGCTGCTGGCACCTTCGCGAACTCCCGCGTGAACTCCTTCGGAGCTCTGCTTGTGTGCCGCGGGGCTGTGGGGGCAGCACTGGGCGGCATGCTGCCGGCCAGCTTCCCGTGGGAACTGGTCCCCCCTTTTCCTTTTCCTTTTCATTTTCCTTTTGCGGTTTCTCTCGAACAACCAAAGAATTGGTGCTCTTTTCTACTCTCTTCTGAGGCTTCGCCATGGTCGGTGATATGTATCCCGCAGCCGAGCGGCCCCACGCCATCGCTATGATTGCGGTTGTCTCCAGCATGGGGCCAGGATTGGGTCAGGCCCTTGCAGGCTTTGTGGGCCCATCTGCTGGCTGGAGAGCCCCCTTTGCAATTGTCGGATCTGCTGGGTTTTGTATGACGCTCCTTCTCTTCGCACTCCTCAAGGAGCCGAGCGAATCTGCCGAGAAGGAGAGCGGAGAATCAAAGAGATATTGTGTTGCCTTGTGCTCCGCCCTGTCCAAGCCCACAGTGATGTTGACATGTCTACAGGGCATATCTGGATGTGTGCCATGGGCGGTCATCTCCACCTTTTTGACTGACTACCTGGCGACCAACGCTCATTTGGGGGTTCAAGGAGCAACCGCTGTGCTGTTTAGTTTCGGGATCGGATGCTTCATAGGAACAGCACTAGGCGGCAAACTGGGACAGCACTTGTACAAAAAGGATAAGAAGCTGCAAGCCTGGTTGATGGCTGTGACGGTTTGGGGCGGCATGGTGCCGTTTGTGGTGTTGTTCTCTGACGAAGATCCATGGGACCATCCATGGCTTTCGCATATGCTAATGATGCTGGGGGGGTTGCTTGCTCCAGTTGCGGGGGGGAATGCCAAAGCGATCCTGCTCAACACCGTGGAACCACGGTCGCGCGGGACTGTTTTTGGCGTGTACAACATCATGGATGACTTGGGCAAGGGCCTTGGGCCTGCACTGGTGTCCAGCTGGGTCCGCCCGCTAGGGCGCAGATCCTCCTTCATGCTGGGCATTTTGCAGCTCGGCGGCCGCCTTTGATCGATTTGGGCGTTCTTTAGTAAGTGGATTCCACTACTTGTTGCAGATGATCATGCAACTAGAGCATGCTTAATCATGCTGTTTAAACCGCTTCGTTCAGTCAGATGGGTGAAGCCACCACGCATACCAGCCTGTGCCACGCTGAGTCAGAGAAGTTGGCACTAATCCACGTCTTCCACCAGACCTTGTGGCATACGGTAAGCATTTTCCCCTTGGCAATATACCATATCCATGGCTGAAAGTGAGCACGTGGGGCAGATAGGCGTGTTGAAAAACATTGTTCAGATCATGGCTCGGGCGAAAACGGCCTAAGCACTTTTGGTAATGTGGGTTTAAGTTTAAGCAAGTGCTTACCATTGTTGAGACGCCTGGGGAGGTGGTTGAACGGCCATTCAGTCACTTTTCAGGCTTAAAAATCATCAGACCTTTGGCGAAAGCCAGCACTTCAGGCAGAAGTGTTTGAAGGGCAGGTTAAGATGTTTTTGTTCCTCAACAAGTGCCGCGAACCGGTGTTTCGAACGTCAGCACGGGGGGGCAGGTGGTTGAACGACCCCTGGAAACACGAGTGTGTGTGTAAACTTGTTGACCCTGGGTACTTGGGGTGCGAATTGAGGCAGTGATAAAACGGCAAACACGTTTGTGCAGGCGGATGCAGGCCGCGTTGCCCGGCACCGGGATTGTTGAATGCTTTTCACACGATTGCTCCACTGGCGGTCAAATGTGGAAACGCGGGCACAGCGAATGCTGGTTTCCGGCGGAACACGGGCCTTACACAAGAGGGCAGGTGAAGGGCGTACAAAGCAAATGATTTCACACGACGCGCATATCACAGCATCTAAAGATAATCTTGTGTCTGTCGTGGGATGACTGTCGCAAGTTTGGACATGGGACAATGTGACCATGACAGACCTGCGGCTTCAGTGTACAGCGGCACGAGCACTAAACCGCAGCGAACGGGCTTGTGCTACAAACCCTTTGTCACCTATGCCACAATTTGGCACACATCTTTGTTTCATCCTATTTTGTCTGCATAGTATCACAATTAACCGATATTTGTGTGTGTGTGTGTTCCAATGTGTTGCGCCTTCTCCAAACATGTGGGTGCATTGACGCCACTTCATACGCTGTGTGACTCCGATTGACATGTCTGATGGGCCGCTCTCAACACCCAAGCTTCCAACTCCGATCTCCCAAGGAGTTGATTCACGAAGGCAACATGTATCCATGACCAATTTGGCCATATGCATGTTATATGCTATTGTGGGGCCGAATTTGAGTTTTGCACCGGCGGCAGCAGCAGCTTCAGCAGAGCTAGTCACGCCAGTCATTCCATGGGTTAATTACCAAGCATACTTGCAAGACCTGAACGCGATTCCTTGAAGCAGCCTAAACGGCTATTGGATGACAAAAGTTGGTGTTGGCTGTCACTGAAAGTACATCATCGCCTTCTCGCTTCAGCCTGAATTCAATTGTGGTGTGATTTTCGACAGCCGAGGTTTTGGATCCCTTGTGGCTTCTTCTGCTGGATGATGACCCGCACCGTGCCCCGCGATGACCTGGAGGAGACGAACCCCAGGGAGGTAAGCCTCAGCGAGCCAAGCGGTGAGCCAAGTGTGTGAGGGCTCCAAGTGATCGCTCTCGGCCCGGGGGAATTGGATTACAAGGGCCAAGGCGATTTGCAGCCAGCGTCGACGGCAGGTCTTTTCAGATCCTCGGACAGATCTGATTGTTACATGGTTCGTTTTCATGGTAGACTCAACTCAGCAGCTGCAATCGCTTAGGCAAATTAAGCTTGAGATATTAGATGTAGAGAATCGGATCAATTTTAGAGATCCACGTGGCAACTGTCAAGGTATGTGTGTGTGTGTGTGTGAGTGTTTTCCTGACATCGGTTGACATGCTCGTGTTCCCTGTGTTAGCTGTCTTTCGGGACGCGGGCCGACGCTCAAAATGCCATGCTGGAATACCTCATTTGCACGGTCTCTGCAAAGTGCAACAACGGAATGCAGGTAAATTCCCGGGTATAGAGCACGATCCCAACGTGACTGCACATCAGGACACACACACACACATACACATGGAGTCATGTCGACAACCCGGGAATTCGTTGATATATAGGATGCAGAGAGGGGTTGGATCTTGCTCCGGATGTTGTGTAGATACTCCGAAATGTTCCCAATCCAAGATCCACCTGGTCTAGCAATGCAATTCTGTGCATGGCTCGATTCCTGAATATTCCAGGCATTTGCCGTGCGCAGTGCGAGTCAACAGGTTTGCGGCAGCACCCCGGCCGCTGTTGCTGCTGGTTTTCGTTAGCGCGCGGGTTTGGGTGTGTGTGCGTGTGTGGTTGTGCAGATGTTGGCTGAAGGCTGGCGGTTTTAGCGCCTAGTAAGCTGAGATGCCGTCGCAACAAACCCGATGTTTTTGACAGGAAA